GGCAGGGACAGCAGGAATTTTTGCCGCCACCACCAAGCCTGGAATCGCCCGAAAACACAACATGCTGAGGCTAAAAATGGGATGTGCGGAGGCTGAAAATGGGATGCGCAGAAGTGGCGATTGGCAGCGATGTGCTCTGCTGATTCCCGCAACCTTGAACAGGTCTGAAATGGAGTGTTCGGAGGCTGAAAACGCAAGGCACAGTGGCCAAAACCATGAGGCACTGAGGCAGCAATAGCCTATGGCAATCCCTGCCACCTGGAACAGTTGATTGCGGGTATTCCGGGAGGCCGATCCACCTGCCAATCAGCTGCTTGTGCTGAATCCGGCTGCAATAATGTGCTGAAGCTGACTGGCTGTTTGCTATTTGCTGTAAGGACGCTAGCCATATGAATAACGATGGAGGCAGAATGTTTTTGCCTAGTTTTCCTCTCCAAAAACTAAGGTGCGTCTTATATTCTGGAGTGTCTTATACTCCAAAAAATTGAATAAATAAATGAATGAAGATTCTGGTGTTAATTTTAAAATCTTAAACAAACTAGGACTTGAATACCTGAAGTACATCTTCTATTATAACCTATCCAGCTACCCAGATCAGAAAAAAAGTGGATTTTAAAATGCTTCTACTGCCAGTACTTTGGTACTTAATAAACAAGAGATGAAGTGATAAGATGGTGCTCAGGCTATAGAATGGTCTCCCCATTAAAATATGTTTGGTCTTCATTCTCTTAGTATTTAAGGGAGTGACAAGAAGAATCTATTTGCTAACCTTTTAATTAATCAATTAAATTGTTAATCAAACTCTTACATTTTTATTTATTTATAAGCCAATGTGAGTTCTTAATAGACCTTATACACTTGTGATAAAAAGACCAAATTTCACTTTTTAGTTGAATTATGAATCTGATTTCATAATTTCATAAACCTAAACATTGTTCGACTACAACAATTGCAAATTCAGTACACTAACATTTCCTTTAAATTTTTATATTAAATAATCAGAGCATGAATTGTATCAAATTTAGTACTTTTTATTTCCCATAACAGCAAATATGATCTATCAATGGATTTCTGTCTGACCACCAGATGGAGCTGTAGTATTAAAAAACTATTTTAATCATATTCCTTCTGATCAACCCGCTTCTATTGAATTAAAACACATTTATAAAATGTTCACAGCTTTGCTCACTCAGCAACTTTAAACTAAAGAATTCAGCAAGAATCTGCTGTTTTCAATAGTAGTTTCTTCACAGTAATATTGCAGTAATAAAATTTATTTAAAACGTAAGACAACATTGCAGGTGGACAGTGCCTGATTGGTTTAATAGATGTTCATTTGCTGAATGATAAGCAAGTGATAACAACATCAGACATGAAGATATTAGAGAGTTGATAATTTGTTTGTACTGCACAGTATAATACAGTGAGCAAATCCACACATGTGAATCAATGATTCTCACTCCACTGACTTTTGGCTTTCCCATTGACTTTGCTTGTCAGAAGGTTGCAAAAGATGATCACATGGCTCTGAGACACTAAAACCATCATAAATACATGCCAGTTCTGCAGCATCCAAATTTTAACCACGTGACCCCAGAGACACGGCAATGATCGTGTGAAAAACAACTGTAAGTCACCTTTTTCAGTGTTGTTGTAACTTCAAGTGGTCACTAAACAAATGATTGTAAATTGAGGAGTACCTGTATTTGATTTAGATTTGTTACTCACAGAAAGGAATCAAGTTCAACGTAGTGTGAAGATAATTAAGAATAAAACTAGGCAAACACAAAATTGGGATGTGATCCTAAGTGTTCCATGGAACTCCAATAGAAATGTTTAAGATAATACCTTGTTCCCCCCACAGGGTCTTATTTTCTTTTGCCCCACAAAATATGGCCTTGGGCTTATTATATAGGGGGAGAGCTTATTGTTTTGGGGTTGCCAGACAGCTGCTCCCTTGCGAGTGGCCTCCCGAAGAGCCGGGCACAGCCTCAGGGGGGAAGCAGCCATGAGGTGACCACGCTCATGAGTAACCACCTGGTTAACCCCCTCTCCAGGTGGGCAGAGTGCCATTCACTGACCTAGGGGGTATCCCTAAGGCGCCAACGCATATGGTGCTCTGCCCACTCCCCAGCACCCGCGGCTTGGCACATTAGTGATACCCCCTAGGTCAGTGCATGGAGCTCTGCCCGGCTGGAGAAGGGGGTTCCGCAAGCGCCTGTTCCGCCCCCAGCAAGCATGCCTCCCAGCCTCACCATGCCCTGGTCCAGGTCTCCCTGCAGAGCCAGGCATCACCGCCACACTCCGAGCATAACTTCTTCTCTGGCTTCCAAACTCCAAAACTCGGCTGCCAAGTCTTCCAGCAGTGGCCGCTCTAGAAGTGTGCTCTATGGTTGTGGACCGGCTGCCGGACAGAGTGTCTTCCAGCAGCCAGCCCACAACCATAGAGCACACACCTAGAGCTCCATGCACTGACCTAGGGAGTATCCCTAATGTGCCAAGCCGCGGAAGCTGGGGAGCGGGCAGAGCACCACATGGCTTAGCACCTTAGGGATACCCCCTGGGTCAGTGAATGGTGCTCTGCCCGGCTGGAGAGGGGGTTTGCCGGGCGGCTGCTCGTGAGTGTGGTCATCTCGTGGCTGCTTCGCCCAAGGCTGTGCCTGGCTCTTCGGGAGTCCGCTCACAAGGGAGCAGCCACCCGGCAACTCCCCCCTCTGACCAGGCAGAATGCCACTCCCCAAACTAGCGGTATCCCAAAGGCGGCAAGCAACATGAGCGCCTCCCCCCTGGCTCCCCAGCTTGGCGCCTTTGGGATACTGCTAGGTTGGTGAGTGGTGCTCTACTTGGCCGGGGTGTGTGTGTGTGGTGTTGTCCAGGGGGCTTATTTTCAGGGGTGGGCTTATATTTTTGCCCACATGAAAAATGTGGCAAGACGTTAGTTTCAGGACAGGTCGTATTTTCGGGGAAACACGGTATCAGTTACCAGTTGATAGACTCTAAGTCTACTTATTTGTTCTCAAATCTTTTGTGCTCTTTTAAAACAGAGCTAATATGATGAACATATTGGATAACCATTTGTCTGAAGTGGTATAGGGTTTCCTGCCTAAGCAAGGTCCCTTCCAAGTCTGTTATTTTGTATTTTCCTATAATTTACATTAGTACCATTACAGTTGCGTTTTCAGGTACAAATGAAATAGAAAAATGAATAAAAGTTGAATCTTGACGACAGTACTTTTGCTAAGCAACCTCTTTGGCAAAGTATTACAAGTAACTATGTTGCAAAAAATGTGCAGTCTACTGCAATCACAGTGATTCATGGCAATATACTGTATTTTCACGACCAAAAGCCGCACCGGATTATAAGCCGCAGTATCAATGAACGTTAATTTTTTAAACTTTTTCCACATATAAAGCGCCCCAGGTTATAAGCCGCACTGCCGGTTTTGGATCAAATATTAGGATTTTCAGTGCGGCTTATAACCTGGGGCGCTTTATATGTGGAAAAAGATCTCCCAGCTGCTTTAGGGGCTTCCTGGAGCGCCAAGAACCTCCGCGCTTTCTCCACACTCTCCTCGG